TAATAATAATAATAATAATAATAATAATAATAATAATAATAATAATAATAATAATAATAATAATAATAATAATAATAATAATAATAATAATAATAATAATAATAATAATAATAATAATAATAATAATAACAATAATAATAATAATAATAATAATAATAATAACAAAATTAATTATAAACTCCTATCCTTCTTTCATATCTTTTAACTGTTTTCTTTTTCACTTTGTTTAATTATTCTCCAATTTATCACTTCCTTAAGAAAAGATTAGATAGAATATTGGGATGATTTCAAATTTGAATCAATATTTCTAATTAATTTTTATTGCTGGGATATAGGAGAGATTGTGGGTAATATTTCAAATTTGATGAAAGATTTTGCCAATATTTTAGATTATTTAATGAATACAATGTTGAATCCAAATTTGGCACCATTTAATGTACCAAATCAAAATTGTTGTGCTGTATGCGGTAGCATATTTCGATTGACCGCTGATTTGGTGCAACATATGCGCATTAATCATCGAGCCAAACATTATTCACAACTACGAAAACGAATATCACCGCGATAAATGATATAATAATGCTTATCATATTGTCTGATTGCTTGTCAATTTTTTACTTTCATTTTATTCAGCTATATGATCATTTATCAGTATTGAGAATAAAATTATTTTTCGTTAAAATTCTCTATTTCAATATAACGTATTCTTTCTAAAATTTCCAATCTGGAATGTTTGATGTGTTACAATGATTTGAATCATATCAGAATTCGATCCTTTATTATTGTTGGGCAAATTTGTGAGGTTCAGCAAATGCAATTTAAGCTTAAAATTAAAAAAATTTTGCTATGAAACAATGTCGTGATCATTCGACGGACCGCATTAAATGCGTAAGTTCGAGAGCATTGATTGGTGTGGTGGGGACGGTGGTGGTGTTAAGTCATGGGTTGGAGGAGTTTGGGCGTGGGGAGATATGTTTTGTTGGGACCGCTAGGTTGTATAAAAATGAATTTTAACTTGATAGGAGGACCTGAAATCTGTTCTGTGTAATTTATAAACTTGTTTCAACGATGAACATACTGCTAGTCTTTTTCCTTATTGGTAATGGATTCGATTGTTGTGTAATACGTTTTTGCGGATATCTTCCAGACTTTACATATCGCTATGTCAATACCGGAAGGTGATTACGAGAGAGGCAAGAAATTATTCAAAATGCGATGCCTTCAATGCCATGTAATAGATTCGGATGCGAATAAAAATGGCCCAACATTGAAGGGTGTGATTGGACGTAAGTCAGGTACTGTCGATGGCTACCCATATTCTACCGCCAACAAAAATAAGGTTTCGTCCTAATTTTCATGTAGCAAACATTGCTGTACCATAAGCAAACACGTTTTAATAGCGATAGCTGAATTGTTCAAAATTCTTCATGCGGGTTGGCTATGCGATGTTCGAGTGTCTGGCTGCTTAGAATAGCGTTTTACCTCTACGATTTGTCTTGATTTCACGCTTGTTAATTATATTAAATAATTATACTAGAAGATTTACACAGTGCAAGTGAAACTAGTTAGGCGCACATTAGGTTTGAACGTTTATTATTTCCGTGGAATAATTTTAGTTATCCAGTTGTGATGCATAAAACTTCAACCGTGGTTGTTTCCCCGTCGAGGCCTCAAGTTAAATCTGCGTCTTTATTTTTTAACATTTTACCGATCGCAGTTCGATTAAGGGACCACATGGTTTGCTGCATCCATTAATTTAACTTCGTATTTGTTTAAAAATAAATTGGCAGCTTTAAAATTTCATCTCAGTTGCTTTGGACACTCATAACAAATCAAGTTGCTGCTAAAATATGCACCTGTTCTGCAGTTTTCCATCGTCTTCGACATTCCTAATTTACCTCTGCCTTAATAAAAATTGATCAGAATCTATTTCGAATGAAAAATATGAGGTCTTTGTAGTTTGTTATTCTTCTGTTCCTCTATTTGTCAATTATAGCATATTGTTGAGTGATGATCAATAGGTTTGATTTCTATTTGGAAGTTGGTATTACCTCTTGATTCGTAGGAACCGACCTTGATTTTATGTTCATCTTTAATGAATTTATTTCAGGGCGTGGTTTGGACCCGTGAAACGTTATTTGAATATTTATTAGATCCGAAAAAATATATTCCGGGAACGAAGATGGTATTTGCGGGCCTGAAGAAACCTCAAGAACGTGCCGACTTGATCAAATATATAGAAGAGGAATCTCCGAAATAATTAGGCAGTTCAATTTCTAATTATAGGACTCGTGTAGTTGCGCTTCATCTTTATTGTCTTTTCAGCCGTCGGATGAATCTCATCATATAGCACATTATGTAGACAATTTAAAAAAAAAAAAAGAAAAAAGTCTTACCAAAAATATAGGATTATTTTATGTTGAAGATTTGCGTTCTGTTATCAATTTGTACTGTCATCTGATTTAAAGAGAATGGAATATAATCCAAACGTCACGTCATTACCTCCATTGTTTATGCAGAGTTCTTCGAGGTGCCTTTTATTATGTTAACAGTTTTTCTATGATGATTAATATCAGCTTGATGTCAAGCTTTTTTTCATATTATTGAATGTTATAGTACAACATGCACATTATGCAGAAGTTCTCGTTTGTATGACGGCAATGTAGTAGAAGTAAAAGAAACGAAGATTGCGCAGTAAACAGATAAATCGAATTGCCTTTGTTTTTTGTATCCACCAAGAACATCCTTAGGAGTTTTGTTGATTGGGATCTTTTCCACTTTTTGTAATCTGTTCCTGTATCATTTCGGCACTATGAGATATCGGATTACGTGAGACGTACAACTATGTGTGATTTATACACTATTTGCTTGCTATATATTACGGTGCTTTTTTGGGTCTTAAATTGGCTGTGAAAATATGCGAGACGGGGGCAAGTTTTTCATCCTGTGTTATGATGGGAACTTTTGACGAAGAAGTTGCAGTAACGTTTGGAGAGTGGTCATCTCTGCATCTTATTGTTTCCATTTACCTGCATTGAAATTAACGATTGAGTTGTTGTATGAAATCGATACGGGAGAATTCCTGATGTCATGAATATGTTACATGTTAAAGTAAAACAGACAAGCAATGGCTTGAGTTATCGATTAAGAGTCGGGTGTGGAAAGGTCAACAGTATTGGAGTTATAGTGTACTGATATTCAAGGGACGAATGATCCTTAAACTTTTGCTTACTCTCTCAAAAACATGGAGGAAAAGTTTGTTATTTTGCTTTTTATTTCTCCTCACATTCCTCCCTACTCTCTACAATGGTCATCTGTCCATTCCAGCCATACAACATAATCGATGATGCACTGAAGATTTCCCTTCAATTTTCACAATAATTATTGCACAAAACTTATTTGTGTTGTCCTCCAATCTAACGAATTTCGGGATCTTCGCATTCACGTGGGTGTGCTTTTTTTTTTTTGATTTTAACTTTATATATTTGTTCATCCCATTCAGCACTTCAAGATGATATCATTAAATGTTGAACTGGGATATCCTGAAAGGTCCACTATGCTAGCCGTCAAAGATTTCTAATCGGAAGTGATTGAGAAGTTTCACACAAACTTCGCATTCCATCTTCTCTCTTCTTTGATTTCAAATTAATCGTCGAGTTATTTAACATTCGGTAGTCGCCATTATATGGGTCATTAAATAACAACGTAATAAGACAGAACCGAGTTTACGATAGTCACTACGGTCACGCTATGGAAGCTCAAATTTAGCATCAGCAATGAAGTATTTGTGTTTACCGAAAATTACATTAACTGATCGTTACGAGTGCTAAAAGAAAGGAATACGGCAAGAGTATACGGTATATACAAATTCCTTGGTAGAATTTAATCAGCACTAATATTGAAGCTATTCTCTCCAGTCTATCTATTACAGTTATTATTATCATTAATGAAATCAATCGCTTAATTGTATTAAGAGTGGGTTTATTTTGATTTAGAACATTAATTCCGAACTTAATACAAGCAAAATTTCTGCCCAAAATTTATTTTGATTGTAAACCTTAGTTTAAAGTTTATTTTGCTTAAAATGTTAATTTCTTAAAAGGTTTTTAAAAGTTAGAAGAAAGCAAAATCATAATGATACAAAGATAAAAAACATTTGCAAACCCATTTTTAAACCTGATAAATTTCTAATCGCAAATAGCTAAAATGAATCACATGATTAGATGTCCTATAACATGCAAATAATGAAATATCAAAACAGAAAAAAACAAAACAAAATGAAACTTCATAAATTGAACCTTAAATACCTCCTGGTTGGTACCCATTTATTTCACAAATTCCAATCGATGGATTGCCATTGTCGGGCAGCAAGATGATATGCGAGTGGTACAGGTCAATTGTCGTGTGAATTCTTGGGTTTGTTATGTTGATCGTTCGATATGGCTGTCGAAAGCGATGACAGTTTCTTTGGGACAGGGAATTGCAACTTTTCAAAAGATTAACATGAAATGCCGGGATTTAATGTATGTGTGTGAATCGATGGTTAATTATGCTAGTGTGGACAGGCAGTGTGGTTTTGTTGGAGAGGGAAAAGATCCAAGACAGAAGAGGAAGAGTATTGGAAAGTGGTAGATGGTAGAGAAGGATGCATGGGATCAGAAGCTAGGGATACGGAACTTATTATTATCTCTTCTCCATGCGTGACTTTTGACATCCTACTACAGGAGGCGTTTTCGTCCCTATAAGCTTAGACAAAATCGAAAGAAAAGAAAACCGTAGTGTGAAAACCTGTGATACACATATTGCATACCTATCATTAGGTGAGGTAAATTGTTAGTTATGGCTGTCCACCGCTGACATGGGACGTATTTCCTGTTGTTGCGGTCATGCTTTGACCTAGACTATTGTAATAGTCACCAAAGTTTGTCGACTCTTGGAGAACTATATGTGAATGTTGCAAACTGACCGAACAATTTAAAATGATCACTTGGTCATAGAGCGACTAAACAAATACTTCAGAGAAGAGAATTGATATGCATTAGCTTGGAATAACATTGGGATTAGTTGTCCAAGCGACTCACAGATTTATTCAAATAGCTCTTCAGATTATCCCAATATATATTTGGACAATTTATTGGAAACGTATTCGTTTGCAGAAACAGAGAGTGTAGTGGTGTAGATGTCATCGAGGCGTGGAGAATATGGTTACCGCGATGGATCGGTACAGTTTCCACGACGTTCCTCCCGAGAGAGACAAGCGATTTATATGAACCTAGATGAGAATTTTCTTATCGGTAATTCGACGGGGGATTCACTGTTACGCTCTCTGGTAGACCGAGCCAATAGATCTCGAGATCCAGTATGTTTTAGTTTCCTTATTTATTTGGTGGTATCAAATTTGCATCATTTCAGAGGACTTCAAAAAAAGATGTTCTAAGGTAATATGGATGAGCACCTTCGTCTCCTTATCCAGTAGGATTCCACCAAAAATATCTAAGACGACAGAATAGAAAAGTCCCTCGTTTCATTTCATAAGAGGGTCTTTATAGGATTTGGACGGGATATTACACAAGTACCTGCTTAGAAATATCATGAACGAGTTTCTCTCTTTGATAAAATGTTATGGAACGATAATTTTGTTTGAAATAATATGTCAGGGAAAAAGCTTCCTATAAATGGTTGCGAATGAAGGAACAATGAGGAAGTGTAAAGTTCCTAAGTCGCATTTCTCATTCAGCTGCATTGTGGTGTATGTTCCAAGGTCCTGAAAGGTCGACGAACTATCCAACTGTATTTTCACTTTGATGAGTGAAAAAAAAAACTAGTTACTCAAATATTAATTATACAAGTCATGAATTTTATTGCTTTCAGATAAATAGTTCATATATGTTACCTCATACGTTCCGCTATTCGACAAGATCGAAAGATAGGATCTACGTTGATACGTACGGAGTTCGGACGAATGGACAGAGTGATGTTGATGGTGATTTCGAAGAGTGTGTGGTGCGTTCAAAAATCCGAAAAAAATCGAGGTGCGTCACTTCATTTGAATTTTGTTCGTAGTGGATGCGATATATGCCACGAAGTACACGAGGTATGTAAAATGAGCTGTATCCGAAAAGATATATCTTGATAACTACTTCCTAAATGAATTTATTAGTGAATTACGGAAATTTAAGGGACTAGCAGCGTGGATACTAACTGTTAACGATACACGCATATCCTTTAAATTCTGGTTTTGAAAATTTAAGGAAGTCATTTAACAGTTATTAAATCGTTTTTGACAAAATTATCTGATGTTCATTGTACACTGCATGGCTCTTCCAGTTTTTTCTCTTCAGCAAATTTTTTCTACTCACGACCTAACATTCTTACTGCCTGTATCTCAAATATGAGCCATATTTGTTCTTTACAATCTATGTTGTTGTACTACATGGCCACACGAAATTTAGTGAAACTTGCGATTTGTTTAAATCATTCTCCTACATTTTTCTACGGAAATTATCATTTGTATTGTTTTGCATTTGTCAAGTTTCCGGATTTCCGTTACATGCTGAAGGATTAGAGTGATTCAGTCATTATTGCTTACATGGAAATGGTATGCATAATTTAAAAACGCTATGTAAAGGTAACTTAGTAATGATAGAAGTAAATATTGATATGTTGGGTTTAGGGAGAGGACCATGAGTCACGGAAATTTGGTTTATAATAGTGTTTTGTTTGACAGTGACATTCGTAACGTAGAAATTGGATTTCCAAGGCAGCATAGGCGATTTTGCAGATAGGAAAAATTCATTAAGAATTTCTCGATCTGCCAGACGAGGAGCGGAAGTGAGGTGAGTGTTATACTTGCTGTCTTCGCTAAAAGATAAAGTGGAGTAGGGTCTTAGAACTTGAAAATTTTTCAAGAAAATGAATAGTTATAGACAAAACCTATTGCAGGTCGAAACCACCATCTCCAGTTGATGAGGATATCAATTCTCCTGCTTCTGATTCAACAGCAGAAGATGCACGTCCTGGATTGTCAAATTCAGTAGTTGGATCTGACGCTAAGCAGGAAGTTGTAGAACCAAACATGTATGAAAGCGTGAAACAGCGACACCAGGCAAAGAAACAAGCTACACTTATTGCCCAAAAAAAGGCCAAAAATGTTGTGGCGTGCAAGTATGTTGAAATATATTTGTTCTGCTTTTGTAGTATCTCAAATTCCTTGTTTTTTTATTTCAAATTAATAGCAACAGGTCTTAGTTTAAAGAGACAAATAAAGCACTTACTCGATACTATTGCAGTACATGAAAGTATCTGACAGTAAGCTTTTACAAGTTCTGCAGTACCTATGAATTAAATTACAAAGTAATATTCATATTCATCAGTACGGACGTATTTACAGGACTATACGGTCTTCCTCAATTTGTGTTGTCCAAATTCTCTGATGTCTTTCAGTTGTTCCTCAACAGCATCGAGGAAAACATAACAGTAGATTTCATTTGGTTTTTTCTTTCATTCGTTACGTTTCATTTTCAGTTCAATGCGTAGACGGCAGCCTAAAAAAGAAGATTCAGAAGATGGTGAGGAAGATCGAAGAAATGGTGCTCCAGAAGTCAGTTGATATTTCTTCATTTCCTTATTCGATTTTTCGTATGTCATACACATGCGATTTTGAACGGTCATATTTTTAGGTGCTGGAACGTCATTGAAAATTGGTAGCCCAAAGCTGATATTTATTTCTCATGCGACATATAAATCATATGAAACTTTTTAAAAAAATGTCTAAATTATTAAAAAGAATAGTGCAATTTTAGCTTTACTTCAGTAACATCGGAAGCAACTCTTTGAGTTACATCTTGGTATTTTTCTGGTAATTTAGGATTTTCGTTAGAATAATTTTATACGATTTAAGTGTTGCTTGAGAAAGATGCATGAGAAGAGGGTAAACATAAAAGATTTTAGAGATAAAAATATTGATGCTAGAATGAATATAATTTTATACCGACTGCAACAAATTTTTTAACTACATAATAGGACGATGATGAATCAGATGAAAATGAGCCGCGACATTATGCGTTAAGGACGCATATCAATCCAGTAGCACGATTTTGCATTGAACCGCGTGCTCAACCGACTCGTACATATGCTCTTCGACGTGAACTGTCAAATAATGATTTGGGAGAGTCACGATCACGGCGGCATATCCATCGGTACCACATTACTGATGTTTATATACGAAATCCTACCAATCGGAGATGATTTACTTCATTTCAGATATGTACCGTGCTAGTATTTTAAGAGTTTCAAGCATTATATGAAGTTTACATGCTTTGTAGAAAACGCCTCTTCGGTAGAAGCGATTCAGATTCATCGTCTCTTTCATCTGAAGGTGCCATGCAAGCTAATGGGGATGGTCGATTCGAATGTCATCGTTTGCTAAGAATGAATAAGGCTAGAGCTCAGTTACGTCCAGTCAATAGTAAGTCTAGCTAAATAGTTCCTGTATCCTTTCTGAACAAGAATCATTTTATCAAGCCGAATTCTTTGTGTTATTTCCCTTTTTTTCAACTGGTCAAAATGTCTGCAATTGCCTACATTGGCAATTTGTAAATATGCATCATCCTGCAAAACTTTTGAAAAAAGGAATGTCACAATGAAAACTTTACGTCGTCCCTTGCAATGAAAACTCTTCTCTTTCAGACGATGATCTGTCATATACAATTGGCGTGCGTGAATTAATTCGTCGCAAAGCTGGAGCAGCTAATATTTCCGGGTCAGATATTGATCCTATGCACATTGATCGCAGCATTGATTTTAGCAAAATTGGTGGTTTAGACTGTCACATACAGTCTTTGAAGGAAGTAGTTCTCTTCCCGTTATTGTATGGTGAAATTTTCTCTCAATTCAGTATTCAGCCGCCAAAAGGAGTTCTTTTTTATGGACCACCGGGTTCGTCTCTTTTTATGAATTGAACATGTCGTCAGCCGGTAGCCTCGGGATGCTAATACTTATATTTTAATACTTTATGATACGGGATACAATTTTGATGAGTCCGTGAAGCCACAAATTTAAGGGTGCTCATTAAAGTAGCTACGAAAACTTTTTCGATATGAAAATACCTCACTTTTCAGCCCTCATCATTTCATTCGCACAATTATTTAAATCTTTTATGTCCTTAAGATGTATCTTACAGTACATTCTTGTCATTACCAAAACATTTGTTTCAGTTTGGCCCCCTAAAAATGGTTACACTCACAACGATTATTTTTAGGTACGGGAAAGACACTTGTAGCACGTGCGCTGGCCAATTCATGCAGCGATGGTGATAAAAAAGTAGCATTTTTCATGCGTAAAGGAGCCGACATTTTGAGTAAATGGGTAGGCGAGTCTGAACGACAATTAAGGTTAGTGTTTCATTTCCTTTAACTAATTGTTTCTTTCACTCTCTGTCACGTGTGGAAAACGTCTTTTTTTCTGATTCTGTAATGTGTGGTTACGCGTATGCTTCAGCTCTCATTCTTATCCCATTCATTTCTACTGTAAAGTTATTTTCTGATAGATCATATTTGAAAATGAGGAAAAACTATGTTTTCATAGGTAGCTTCAATTAATTGAGGAGTTCGTATTTTTAGAGCCCTTTTCGAACAGGCGTTCATAATGCGTCCTTCCATAATATTCTTTGATGAAATCGATGGTTTGGCACCAGTTCGAAGCTCAAGACAGGATCAAATTCATAGCTCTATCGTCTCAACTTTGCTGGCATTAATGGATGGATTGGACAGTCGGTGCGAGGTATTTACTGTTTTTTTTTTCCTACATCCCAATATTTTTGCATTTTATTCAGTCATTTTCATCACACCTTCGGGAGTGCCTCTTTTAGGTTGTTGTAATCGGAGCAACGAATAGACTAGATGCCATCGATCCTGCGTTGAGACGTCCTGGTCGATTTGATCGAGAATTAAGCTTTCGGTTTGTCTCTTCTTGAGTCCTTCAGGGAATTGGAGGATTATTCTGCTGTTTGACTCAATACTTTTTTTATAAACTCAGTCCTCATTAATCTTTTTTAGCTTGCCTCATAAGAATGCGAGATTGGAAATTTTAAAAATTCACACATCATCTTGGGGCATTAATCGACCATCAGACAACATTTTCAAATGGCTTTCTGAGCGCACATCGGGATATTGCGGTGCCGATTTGAAGGTTCGGTCAAGCTGGATCTCTTTTTTTGCTTTTATCGTTCTTTGATATCTGAAAACCATAGTTTACTGCTGACCTTACTATGCCTAATAAACAAGCTTATGCGCATTACATCATATGATTCAGTCGCTTTGTACGGAAGCAGTTCTTACTGCACTTCGGTCTCAATTTCCCCAAATCTATTCATCCAAAGAAAAGGTCTATATCGATCCCAAAGCACTGAAAGTGGAAAAGAAAGATTTCGATATTGCAATGCGACGCATTGTACCAGCTGGTCGAAGAGGTATGACTTTCTGTTTTTAAATTTTGTTTAGATTTTAACGATTAACTTTTATATGTGAAATTGTTAGGAACTAAATCTAAAACGAAACATACTGTAGGATTACTCCAGTCACGAATTTTCAGATTTTACTATACCTTCGCGGATTTTGGACGACAGACTCAAGATATTGTTAGAACATGTGATTGCTTTAATATGTCGCCGCATTCCTAAAGGTTATCACGATGTGGTTGACAGCGGTCGAGAGTTAGGTGATATCGAACGAATTCTGAAAGGAGTTTATTCAACTCCTGCTATACCGTCTGGTTGGTTGAGTTGCAATGTCATTGAGAAAAGCGATTAGTATTCGTATTTCTGAGGAAGAAATCCTATCGTGGTCACATTTTCTCTTTAATAGCTAGTTTTTTTTGGACTAGAGAATATTGACTTACTCGGTTGTCAGGCTGATATACATTATATGGTTGATATGGTTGATGCAAAGCTCAGGATACTGACAATTGAACTGTGAAATATAATTTTTCCGCTGTTTAACTTTGATTAATTTGGGTTACTTTAGTTAACCAACTCGCACTTATCCTGATACGATACATTGCCGCCTATCTCCACATTGCGCTAGAGTGTTGAAATTGGTTTCGCTGCTGAAGATTCCAAGTAGCTGCTAAAACAGTATTTAAATAAGTTTGTCATTTCCTCGAAAAATTGTTTCAGCTCGCTTACTGCTCTGCGGTTCCTCCAGCAATATAGGTCAAACGTCTTATATCTTACCTGTTATCATAAACCACCTGGATCATCTTCCGGTATTTTCACTTTCAATGGCCAACCTCTTCTCTTACGGTTATTTTCAGTTATTTTCTTTTGAGCTTTTGAGGTTATTTTTGAGTTATTTTTGTTTTTCCTCAGTATTTTGGAATCATTTGATGTCATTTTTTTGTAGGGTCATCAGAGGAGCGTTTTTCTCATTGTGTACAATCAGCTATTCGTGCCTCATCAAGCGGGACGCCCTGTTTACTGTTGATTCCTTCCATTGACAGGTGGTATTCATCAGTACCTCCGTCAGTTTGGAATCTGGTAATTTTTTTAGTTGCGCATAAATTAGTTGCTGCAAAGTTGTCGAAATTGTGAAATGACTGATCTTGTTACATTAACACATTTTCTTAACATACTACCCCACGATTACACTAGTTTAACGAAAACTGTTCATAGTAATGTTTACTTTTTCAGCTCTTATCTGCTGTCAGCTCATTTACGGGTTTCACTTCCATCCTTCTTCTTTCGACAGCAGAATGCAGCTATTCGGAACTACCTGCTGAGGTTGGTTTATGTCGTGTTGTTCTTTTACGAAAGTCTTTAAACAGGAGTAAAGTCTAAAGTAAGCTACGGCAATACACTGATCTTGCATATTATATCAGTTCATGCAATGCAAGAAGTCTATTCGAAACGTTAACCTCGATGGCTAGCTGAATGTTAGCAAAATATAATCTCTTAATATTCATTTTTGAAAATAAAACACATTTATTTACATTATAATAGATGGGGCTTTTTGTTGTCTTTGTACCATATAAAAATAGTAATGAACCATTACAGGTTCAACTTGTCTTTCGTCCTCAAGATTCAATGGAAATAACTCCACCTCCAGCTGACCAACTTGAAGCTTATTTCCAACACGTCATTATCGGGCCAGCGTGTACTCCACCTATAACATTTAACGGTTAATTATTTTTTGAAATCTTTGATAACTGCCATTTTTGCACACTTTTAAAAATTGGCCTTTTTTTTGCTGAATTATAACTCAGGTCTACTGAACACTTCCGATTAGTACGTCAGACAAAAGTAAATCTATCGTAGATCAACGGACTAGAATGATTGTTGCTGTCCTATGTCAAGTTAGGAATTGTTCAGTTGTAAAACTTTTGTTTTCAGATGCTGAGAAATTTATCCTCTTAGCTGTATTTTAGTTGATGACTATCCTGCACTTCCAAAAGCTGGTGTAGTACAGCCGTCAAACCGACTCAGCAGTGATGAGATTAAGGAACTGAAGAAGCTTTATGATCAGTATCATTTGGAAGTTATCCTTCATTATGAAGAAACCATTGGTTAGTTGCAACTTCTTCCTGTAAGTTGTGGAACTAAACTATTTGTCTGTTCATTTTTTGCTCAGGACTTTCTGCATTTGTTTTGTCCTCACAGATATTACATTGTTTCGCTTTCCAGCTCGTTTAATCCGTGACCGTCGATTCAGTGCATTTGTACAACCAGTAGATCCTGTGGATGTTCCCGATTATTATACGCACATTAAAAATCCTATGGATCTTGGTACTATGTTTTCAAAAGCACCGAACTATAAAACACCTGACGAATTTCTCAACGATTTCCGACTGATTCATCGAAATGCAGTGGAATATAATCCAGTTACTGATTATGAAGGTATATTTAGCAAAAAAGTGCGGAACAGAATATTTCTTCTTTAGCCTTTTAATGCATTTCTTGGTTCTGAAGGTATAAAAGAGTTGTTTCTTCTCACTTTAAGTTGTAGGCAGTTTCCCATTTTCTGTATCAACCACTTTTTCTGAAATGTCTTAAATATGTTACGGAACTGTTTTAAGTTTATATGCATAACATTTTAGGACGTCAGATTCGCATTATGGCAAAAGTGCTGTTGGATATGGGTCAGCGGGCAGTTCTGGAACTGGATTCGAAGTTCTTGAAACGCCTGGAGGTAAAGGAAGCCAGATTTCCTGAGAAGCCAGGATTTTGAGATACTTGAATTCAAACGAGATCACATAGTGTTAAAATGAGAAAACGGAAGAACAAAGAAACAAGTTGGCATCCTGAAAAAAGAAGCTTTGTCACGGTCTTGAAGTATAGAAATAATAAGAAGCTTTTTAAATATTTTTACACCTAACTCAACTTTTTAGGATGTGAAAAGGATGTTGAAAGAAAATGGCATCAAAGTGGATGATGAGAGTGATGAGGGTGATCATGGAAAGCAACCAAATGGGCATGTAGTGAATAACTGTGAAGTTCCTGTAAAGAATGATAAAGAAGAAATGGATATGCCAGAAGTCATTTTTCTCGGAATATCTGTACCATGCTAGGAAAATCGAAATATTAAAAACACCAAATAATTGTAAAAGAAATAATTTTCTGAAGTATTTCAACGGACCGTTTATTATGGAGGGCAGGAATAATATGTTGGAGCATAATGGATTTAATTTTTTTTTTCAGGAGTTGAAAAAAACAGCCATCAAGCGACGTGGGTTGCACACGTCTAAATTGTCTCGGAAGCGGCGTTGCATCAGGAAATCACTTAAAAAGTGCCGTGCAAGCCATCCCAATTTGAGGTTAGTATTTGTTTTGAAAATTTCGTTTTTTAGGGAATCGAACTTATTCATATTTTCTGTTTCTTTTTTTGTTGATTTCTGTTTGAATCTTTTACAGTATTTAATCGATTGATTTGATCCGTATTTTCAATTTTTTTATTGATAGTTTTTTGGCAACCTTTTATAGAAAACTTTTTCGTAATCTGTATATTCTTCAGTAGCCAGATGGAAGGTATTGATGTTGAAGATGGTGTGCTAAGTGATGGTGACCAGCTTGTAACGGATGATGACAAGGATTTCGAGAATGGACGGAGCGTGGATACTGTTAGTACTGATTTCACCAAATTTCTTAAAATATATTCATTCATTCTTATCCACTTTTTATCACTTTTTATCCGTAATCATTTCATATTACGGTCTGTGATCTCGTATCGTGACAGTGTGGATTTGTCACTAATTTAAATCTTCACTGATAAAAATTTATTTCATGTATAGTCATATAATATAACTAAAAAAAATTCGATGAAATTCGATGAATTTCTGCTGACTGATGCAGAACAAAGAAATACTTTGAGAGTGCCAAATTGGTTTGAAGGAGCACCACTTTGATAGTAAGGTAGCATAAAACACGTAATGTCATTTCTTTGTTACAAGCATAGCTACAAATTAAAATGGAATGAGTTTTTCCAAAAGTATTTTATTTCAGAGCAATTCAAGTTCAAACCGTGAAACGGGTAACACTAAAGATGGTAGAAGAAGTCTTAAAATCGATCTTAATAAACTTGATGAAGTTGTCCATATGGTAAGTTTTCAATAAATGGAAGTAAGTGCATATTTTCCAAAAAAAAGTATTTTCAAAAATACGGATCATTTTTCATAATAGAGGTATAGTTCATGCAAATTTTCATAAAGGTTTCTGTTTTGTATTACATTTTTGTACTACGATTTCGGTTCATTTCTTGGCACAGAGTGGTAGGTAATCGATTCAGGCAGTGAATAAAAGTCGTGGTTGGCCATTGGTGGATTTGGAACTTTTTGCTGCGAGGATTTCGGAGATTATTGAGACATTCCGTGATAAATGGGATCGTACGCAGTTGCCGTATGAAGTCGATGGGATGATCCGTCGCTGGAGCTCTTCGAACTAGCCTGTTTTTAAATTTATTTTTCTCTTATTTGTACGAAAAGGTGTTGTATTTTGGATGGTTGTAATTAGGTAGTTTATTTAGCTCAAATTTTTGTCATAGTATCAAACCGTAAATCTTTCCTTTTCGGTTCAACACGTGCGTATATGTCTTTGTGTGGATATTATGTATATGCACATATTTCCCTTTGCTCGTCATTTAACTCTGGGTTTCTCCTCTTTTTCCATGCTAAATAGAAGGTTTCAGTCTTAATTGAGGGGTAGCTAGAATAAAATTCGTATCCAATCTGCAATTTTTATTTTAGACAGCAGCCCCAGACATTGTATAAAAAGTTCTGGGAAGCCAAATGATCCACTAAAGATGGTATGGTATTTCTTATCACTAAGTCCTTAATAGTTTTCGAGAAATCTGACATTTATTTCCGTAGAATAAGTGCACTCTCTCCGAGAACTTTGTTTTCTTTTGTTTTTTTCTTTATTCATTATGTTACTCATCCTTTTCCTGGTGAACATTGACTCGGTTGTTTTGTTCAACTTTTAATTGTATTTCAGAGAGCAGGGCGGTTGTTTTTCTGATTCTTGGCGCACATTGTACCACTGGGACCAGAGGAAATGAATTCTGGACCGGTGTTACATTGAGGCTCTACAACTTCAGTTTTACCGTAGTAGAGTTTCGTTTCTGTTAAATTTAAATTTCTGCAGAATCGTTCGAATTCAGTAACGAGGAAGCGTAAATTTAGATCGAGATTTTAGTTCTTAAATGTGGAAATTGAATTCCAGTTCTTGTTCGATGGATAATTCCTTAACATATGAACATTCTGGATAAGACCAATTTAGAATACTTTTTTTAGAGTGACTACTGTGTACTAGCAAGTCTATCCGATCAGTATATTGGCTCAAACTTTCATTTTTTGTCTTTTAACAGCAGCTATACAACATCATCCGATTTGTATATTTTGTCCCGTTGGTCTGTCCTTTCCAAAGTTCTTTCATTATCGCATTGCCGTTCTATGACGAGGCGTGAAATTTTTTGATTCGGGAAGAAATGTCGAAACGGGCAAGGTTGCAAAATTCGATTTTGTTATACCTTTCTTTTGAGGATGTATCAAAATTTCCACTTCTACCTCCCATTTAAGCAAGTCAATGTAGAATCATCTTCAGTTATTGCTCACAGCGTATAGTCGTGGTCCCGTTCCACTACAACGTCCAATGTCCTTTATTACAGTTGGGATATTGGTTGACTTTCTACTCATCTTTTATCAATGGATTTTAGATTTCCCCTGTTCAATTTTATTTCCTGTGATTTTAAGAGTCCAGAGGAAAGATCTCGCACTTGTTTTGAATTTGGCTTCATTTCAACATGGTATACGATGATTAGCTTTTCGTTGAACACTGCCCGTTACGATTGCATTACTTCCCACCCAATGCCCAAGTTGTTCCTACCTCTTTATTTGATCGTGATCAGACTCCTTTCATACCTAAGCATAACTGCCATGTTCAGTATCCCACATAAAATTGTATTTCTGTGCTCATCATCATACAGAGAATTAGCTTTCAGAAGTAAAATGTTTTTCCATTCTTTTTCTCTCTAGCTCTTTCTGATATTGAACAAACAGTTCTACCCTAAACTTTTAATCTGTTACCATATTGTTTGGAGCTGTACTCGTCATGTTAAATTTTTTTTGTGTTTATCAATATGTGATAAAATGTTGAGAAATTATAAAATATTTAGGAAGAATTATAATGCAAGATTAGACGGGGGAAAGTACACGTTTATAACTGAAAACTGCTTGAATAAAAAACAACGCTGTATTTTTACAAAAACGCCCATCCTTCTCAATGCCGAGGCATTTAGTTTTCTTTTTTAAACAACTGTTTCCCTTCTGGAATGTACCCAAACTTAACTCCTCTGGGATAGCCACTTCGCATGTGGATCTACTTTTACTTTCAGAGAGTATAGCTTAGTTCGGCTGCTGATACACCATGATCGACGTGAGATCATTGTTGTAAACATTATGAAATGTGGGTTATCGAATAGCATGTCATGAGATGGAAGCTGAAAATCGAGAAATCTCAACAATCATGAACAGTTATTGCCCACATTGGTAATGAAATGAATTCAGTTGAGCGTGGTTACCAATGTTTCCGTACCACGAGTTAGACGGAAGCTGCTCAGAATAGCAACGTAAATTATGAAACAAATTCAACTAATAAGTTATTTGATAGTATTTAATCAAAAGTTACTGCGATAAAAAAAAAGGTGAATTATCTGACATAGAATAATGCACTGAATCACATGGAACATTGAATGATTGGTAAATTTAAAAGAACGGAAATCATCAGCTGAAAAGATCACCATCAGAATCGTCGCCAAAAATGTCTACTCTTTTCGGTTTCGAAGTACTTAATTTTCTCGGAATAACTGTTTCCTTTTTCTCCAGAATTGACCTGTCTTTTTTGGAATGATTGCTTCGTTCCTCAAAACGGCTCCCTTGTCTCTAGCAGACTGCTGTTCCTGTTTCTCAACCGAAATGGTGCTAGCAAAAATATCTTCATCATCTGAGTCAAACAAATTCTTCAACTTAGAACCAATTTTAGGAGTATGTGTTCGGCTTGTTGATATGATCGAAGAACGCTCCCTAGACGATGGCAGTGACTGTATACCGTCGTTCTCGACGTGTAATTTCGAAACAAGTGCATTGGTTTTAGATATGCCAGAAAAAGCGGAAAAAAAATCATCGTCCGAATCAGAAGAAAATATAGAACTGATTTCACTTTTTTGCTTCACATTGTTTACGTTTTCAACGATATACTTTCCGGGATCGATTTTCAGTTCACCGTCTTGTCGTTCGTTACGTACCTCAGCTTTTCCCTTAATAGTTCGATTATCTTCTGCATTTGCACTTATAACTACGGAAGCACGAATCGACTTTACCTCACCCTTATCATCTCCTTTGTCAGAATGTTGCGACAAACGTGAGGGTGAGCGCCGAGGTGGTCCCTTGGCTCGCAGCTGAAAAGAACCATGAATTTACAGTGTAGCTATTAGTAAGAAAAACTGACTCCGGAAAACTTTTAGCCCCACTATACCTTTGCAAGGGAAGGCAAAACAGCGTTGGTTCCATCATTCTTTATTCTTTCTTCTGCAATTCCTTTCTTTTGACGTTTTTCCACGCCACTAATCGTATTTGATATAATTTTATTTGAAAGTATACCATCTAGTTTATTTCGGAATGTATCCGAATTCTCCGCATCATTTGTAAAGACATGATCCGCAGCTTTCAACGAATTTTTCTGAAAACATTCGAAGATTAATCATTCATTACTCAACCGACATTTCTTTCGATGACGATCTTTCCGTTAACCATCTATTTACATTTCTGCTAGCTGGAAAGTACACGCACTGAATGTGCAAAAAATCTCGCTCAGCATCTCCACTAGGATTAGTGAAAAGAGCGCAAACTGCATCAATACTTTTTCTAATGTATTAAAGTTTTATTTGATCGCAAATGCTCACTGGTTTCGATATATCAGTAAACACGTCTGGATTACGCACATCCATATCAGTTTGCAAGTTATTCTTTCTCTGCTCAGAGGTTGAAATGATTTGAGAATCATTTGAATAAGTAGAAATATGTCGTTTTGTTTCCGCAGTCTATAAAATCCAGAAAATATCAAATCTGCGTAATGCTTCATAGCTTCTAAGAAACCTTTGTCGTTTTACTACAAAGATAACGAACCGTGTTTTTTACGTCACTGAAAAGATCATCCTCGTCAGAGCTGCTGTCGACAAACAGTTTACCCACAGCGTTTGATGCAACCTTCAAAAAAAAAAAAGAAAAAANANAAAANAAGAAGAAGAAGAAAG